ATTATATAAAGGTACAATTCCCAATGAGAAATGTAATTGTGTTGTATACCTACAATGTACCAATAAAAGAATTTAATACAAAAAAAAAAAGAGGAAAAAGCAGAAAAAAATGATAACCAAAACTAAAAACAAAAACAACAAAAAGAAATTTCTCTGTGATTTTGCATGTGTGATTTTCTCCTGGGACCTACAATTTTGGGGCAGTGTCTATGTCAAGACCTGTCTCTGCTCAAGGTGGTGGATAAAGAGGGTTGTCAGACTCCAGATCAGCCGTAGGTACAGGCACCCACAGGCCTTAGGATTAGGGCTAGGTCGCCAGTTCTGTGACTTTCAAATGTAGAGCAATTTAGGCTGTGTGTGGACCCTGGTTGTGGGGGTGAGGTTTTCGCCCTTCAGCTTAAACCCTCATCAGGTCTCTTGTCACCCTCACCAAAGCTCCCTGACCACATGTGTTGCCTGTGCCCTCCTCTCACCTAGTCACTGTGGGAATGCAACCCTGGCAGTCCTGGATTGAAGCCATCCTGTGGTTGACTGAGTCTTGGGTTCAAACAGTCCCTCCCTGGAGTGGTATCTGACCAAGCACTCTTCAGGGAGTATGGCAGGTGTTTGGGTTGGAGCCACTCACCAGTTGTTGCAACTCACAGCATTTACTGGGCCAGTCCACTGTTGTGTTTTTCCCTGCAGCCCTCGGGAGTCCTCCACTTTTACTTTTTTATACTGTCTGTGTAGATTCTGCTTGCCTTTCTCACGAGCCAAGAGCTGGGAGCCAGGGATTTATTACTGTGCCCCTTCCCCTTTCTGAGTTGTGTTCCATTTTTTCAATTTCTCTCTAGGTATTAATATTCCTATCAGATCGGGCCTGGGATTTAGCTCAGTGGTTCTGCTGCCTGCCTCGCAAGCACAAGGTCCCAAGTTCGATCTCTGGTCCAAAAAAAAAAATATTCCATCAGATCTTTTCTGGGTCCTAGGGATCTACTTCCCTCCTTTTTTTTTCATTCTCCTCTGGATTCTAAATCTCAGGCTGATTTAAAGACCATATTGTTTTATAGTGATAGGAATGGGCTTGAATTCTAGTCCTGTAACTTAATAGCCATGTGGTTTTGGCCAATCACTTCTACTTCTTGAAAATTGATTTAATTATTTGTTGTGTGAGGGTTGTTTTGAAATATTAATAAAATTACATGGTTTTAAATATATAAATAAAATTATATGGTAGTATCTGTATTAAAACATTCAATAAACAATGGCTGATATAATACAGTCATTATTGCTAATGTGATAATACCATCTTATTTTCAGGTTTGATTGCAAATTTTGGGTTAGGTCAGCAGTTTCTGTATTATAAATAATATTGAGTGTGTCTCTTCTCTGCTTTAATATTCAGTACTTATAGGTATCTTGGAACTTACCATATTAGATTGTTATGGTCTCTTTACTTACTTTCTTCCACTATTCAGCTGTGGACTTGAGAAAATCAGTGGGATAGCTGTATGTTTTCTACCCTACTTTGGAGTTGCTAAGAGAAGGTCAAATGCTTTGAATTCTCCAGTGAGCCATTTAATATTCATATTAGATGTTTGTGTTACTAATAATATCTAATTCCTGACACATTATTCTTAATAGTTCTTGCTGGTCTTATTGGAAGCCTGATGTGCCTTAATGAGGTATAATTTTGGAAATGACTAATACAGCTTGATAGAAAAAATTTCATAATTTTAGTGCTTAGAGCACTAAAGTTCATATATTATACCTCTTCTATCTTCCAGAAGAGGAAGCAGAGGCCCCAGGGTGCTAGGTGCTTTCCCTAAAGTAACAGTGCAGATTGGTGGCAGGATATTTCACAAGTCAGAAAGAGAGCAGTGCATCAAAGATCATCATACTAAGGTGATAAGTATTACCATTTCAGGAAAATCCAAACTTCTAAGGGTCCTTTTGTGGTTTAATATGGGAATATTATATTTAGAAAATGTAAAATCTGATCCATTTTACCTTTACTTGGCAGTGCTTGAGAAAAAAATAGTGTAAAGTTTAGATTTTCAAAAGGAGCCGCAAAAAGGTAGAGAGGATAAATTTCAAGCTGTTACTGCCTTTGGTTCCAAAAGGGGGCTGAGATAGATGAACGAAGTTATTATTTTAAAAATATATAGCATGTTGGTATTTGTTAACTTATTACAATGAGTATATAATATTTTTGTAACTTAAAAGCTTTATAGTATAGAAAATAGAAACTGATAGTGTAACCAAGGGTTAAAATGAATAATTGATAATTTGAAATAGGAAAAAAGGTCCAAAGACGAAGGGTTGAAGGGAGGGGAAGGGGAAAGGAAAGGAGGGAAAGGAAAAACTATGAGAAAAGAAAAAAAATGGAAATGATGTCTGTCTAAATAGGGAAGGGTGGAGGGGTGAAGGGCGCACAGGTAATGGGGACAAAAATAAGAACCAAGATACATCATGTACAGGTACAAACACCCAATGATAAATGTAAACAAATTGTATACCTAAAATGTACCAATAAAAGAACTTACAAAAAAAAAAAGAAAGAAAACTGTTGTTTAAAAGCAAAAACAAAAACCTAGCACAAATCCAAGTTGGATGAAAGTATATAGGAAAATAAACAAACTTGTCCTCATTGGCCGTACTTGAGGAGACCAAATTTCTATATGAAAAAGAATTAAATCTTTTATTGTTACTTAACAAAAATTTAAGGCAATAATTTGTACAGAGAACCTAGCAGTATATAGTAATTAGAGTGAAATGAATAGTAGAGTAGAATTAATTATGTTATAGATTATATTTACTGGTACATGTTTAGAAAGTTATCCTTGAAGCTTATAAACTTTATCTTTCATTATATGCATGATCATTTTTCAGTGCCAAAAGGGAGTCTTCAGCAAAGCATCCTTATGTACTCAGAGGTGTATGTATTTTTACTAAGCTCATACTTGAATCAGACCAATTACCTATCTTGTTCATTTAACAGAAGACCACGTTACTAGGAAAAGTAAACCTTTGGCAAACAATAAGAAGCAGATGAAGTGTTGACTGGCCCACTGTAACTTTAAAAAAATATTTTTATTAGTACATGTTTGCAGTACATAATGATTACATTCATTGTTGGGAGTTGGCAGGTGCTCATAACATACCTTAATGCCCTTTTTCATCCCCTTTCCCTCCCTTTCCTTTCCCTCCCTATATCTCTTGATTCTCTTTCATTTTGCAAAAGATCTTCTTGTTTCCTTCTATCTTTTATTTTGCTCTTTACATATATTTTGGGTTTCTCATATAGCTTCTGTGTCTGATTTATTTCATTTATGGGTTTCTGGTCTCAAGGTGTATTCATTTTCTTAAAAATGACTCAAGTTTATCCTTTATGGCAGATTAGAACTGCCAGTTTTTGAAATTAAAAACATCTTATGTTTAATTTAGTTGCATTCTTTACCCCTTCTATAAAGCACTGCAACATACCTTAGATGTTGGGAGACTATGATACAAACTATTAAGTTGGGTGTGCACTGTTGTGAGAGGGACACTCTGGACAGATTATATTGCTTCTTGAGGTACAAGATTGATTTAATAGCAGCTTGAATCTGAGTAAATTCTTTTAACTTTTCTGGACTTCGCTTTACTTACCAGTAAGGTACAGTTAATAATAGCCTAACAAATATAAAAATTTTAGATTTAACTGAATTTTAAAGTTTATCAAAAAGTGTGGCAGGGCTGGGGATTTGACTCAGTGGTTTCACTGCCTGCTGCGCAAGTGCAAGTACCCGAGTTTGATCCCCGATACTCCCCCCCCAAAAAATTGTGGCAATATTTTGGTAACACTGGTAGGATTCCTGAAGCTTTTCTAACACCAGAAAGCACAGAATAAGCAGTTAATAGTACATTAATAGTATGTTGATAGTATATTCACTAATACAATATCAGAGAGCCACAGTGTCTTGTTCTTATTTTTTATAACCTCATATTTTATTTAGCTGGATTCCCTGATCGTGACCTATATGTTTGGAATAACTGTAAAGCAAATAAAATCTCTTATCTTCCTAGAAACTAATTCATATCTCAGTACCATGTTTTCTTTCAGTTAACAATTTAGGGCCATTTTCATGGCAGTTTCTAATCTTGGTAATATTTTACATATAAAATAAAAATCTGGGAATTTTGATAACTCATTTCTTTGATTTCTGTGTGATTTTATTATGTATCTTAATGAATTCTTGTTTTTGATCTTCCTGTAACAAAAAAGGGTATTTATAATTCAGAGTTAAGATTGTATAATTATTACAAAAGCGTTTTGCTCTCTGGGCTTCTATATATTCTTGATACCTTATCTCTCCTTTTTCCCCCCAATATTTTCAGATGTTTTGGAATGTTATTAAGCCCAGGTCGAAACGTGAAGAACAGTGACATGCATTTACTGGATATGGTAATGATAATCTTAAGCACTTTAACCAAGTTTAGATAGTAGTCATTTTATAGTTTTAAAGTACTTTCTATTTAAAAAGCTTGTCATATTGTCAGAATTGTTTCTTTTTACTGCATATAATATTAATTAAATTTGGTTGCTGATTTAAAATTACTTATGAGGGAGGGATTTGGGAAATTTTCATCCAAAGCAGTCATGCAATTTGAAAGCAAATAAAAGGATAGTATTATGACAGTGTCCATCTATTCATCTGTTTGACTTAAGAAGATGTCTTTTCTTTGAGCCCAAAATAACAAGAATATGATTATAACAAGTATCTCCAAAGTGAATATGGTACCTTTCATTTATTTTAATGCATTATTAATTTGAGTGTTGGAATGATGCCTGTTTTTCAGTTATTTCTCTTTCTGAACTTCTCCTGGATTACCTTTTCCTAGCAAAGTATATTTACTATATTCATTTGAAGAATACTCTTAAAGATATATATATATATATATATAGTATATTCACTAATACAATATCAGAGAGCTACAGTGTCTTGTTCTTATTTTTTATAACCTCATATATATATATATATATATACAAGAGTTAATATTTGATATACAAGTAGCAAGCCATCTTAACTTTTTCACATTATTAGATATACCTTCTAATATTGCAATTAATGAAAACATTTACTTTTTGATTTAGCAATCTTGTAGGAAATAGTCATTTTAGGGTGAATATAATGTTCCTTAGTAAACTGGAAGTTTTATATTTAGTGATAATAGACATGACATCCGTTCTTCCTTTCAACTGTGCTAGGTAAATGTCAGTTAAATATCACTAATTATGTCAAGTTTTTCTTGAATTATTTCATAGCAATTTTAACACTAATCTTCTAATAGTATTAGAATGCTTTCTTTCAGGCTTCTGGGTACCTATTTGTGTGCCAAGCATCATATGAAGTGCTGAGATTATAGATATGAGTAAACCACAGCTTTTTCCATCTGTGGGTTCGTAGTCTTGCCATGGAAACATACCTTTTAAATATGTAACTATGTAATGGGTGCAGTGCTTTCTCATTTGCAACCATGAACCATGAAAATACAGAGGAAGCACTGCCTGGATAGGTCAAGTAAGGACAATGGTTACACTGAATGAGAAAACATAAATTAATTACTGATCTATCTGTTTCTCCAACATACCAGTAATGAGTGTGGTTTTATTTAAGGCAAGCTATCCCATTTGAGAGTCGTGACAATTCTATGAGGTGGTATTTTGGAAATGTTGAGGCAATAAAAACTTTTCAGATCCTGGGTCCTAATTATGGTCTTTCAGAGCTTAAAATATTAAGATGAATCATTGGTAGAGATTTGTTTATAAAATCTAATCCAGATTATAAAATTATGGAACTGGTGTGACTTTCTGAGGTCCTTTTGTCACATCTAATTTACAGAGCAATCCTCCACCTTTGAGGCATCAACATCAAAGGCCTTATCAGCAGTCATGTTTCTGGAAAGAGCAGTATGCTTAAACTACACAGCAAATGGGCACATAGGAAGGTTTGCATTTGCAGTTTTCAACAGTTGTGATTTATTACTAGCTAGTGTTTTTAATTTCTGTGATGTCTTAATATGTAGTCATTGATTCTTGGCTAGATTACATCTCATAAAAAGGAACTCATTACCTTATGTTGAAGCCTAAGGAACAGTACTGGGTTTTTTGGGTACCGGGGAGTGAACTCAGGACCTTGTGCTTGCGAGGCAGGTGCGGTGCACTGAGCTAAATCCCTGGCCCAGTCAGTACTCATTATTATAAAGTTATTTCTTTGGAATCTGTTGAAATCAAATTCCTTGTAGCTTTGTCTAATTAGTCTTAGTTCTGGCTTCTAGAGGAAGATTTTAATACTTGTGCTCTTTTTGGACACACCCAAATGTCACGTAAAATTGAAAATATCTTTTACCATTTTATTCTGATAGACTTTTATAAAAAAGACAGCTATGCGCACACACACACACACACACACACACACGCACAAATAAAATCACATTCCCAAAATTAGCTTGGGCGTAGTAAAAGAGACCCAATTTTCTTCCAATAACAACAATATTTTGGGTTAAGGAACTTGACCAAATAAGGACAAAATTTTTTTTTAACCTATAGCTGTGGTACCTAGGAGAAGCGTAACAGCAGGGTACCAAGAAAAGCAGAGAACTCAGTAGAGCCAGGTTTCTTGGAACTGAAGCACAGTTTAAAATTTAAGTTCTAAAGATTCTTCAGTAAATTTTGTAGATCTTTACAGTTAACTTCTTATTGACACTAGAACAGAAGCTTGACCCATAGTTGCAAGTGCATTTCATATTTTAATCCAGTATGCCAAGCGGTCTTTAGTTCTTACACATGTGATGAACTCTGCTACTTCTCTTCTGCTTACTCCCTTGCCCCTTCTCTTTGATCTCATTGCCCTGTGCTTCTACCTGCATTCCCCTCCCTTCTAGCCTCCCAGTATCTACCTTTGTGTTTTGCTTACACGATTTATAACTTCAGTGGTTTTTGTTAACATTTATTTTCTCCGTTTCTTTTACCACTTACCAATTTCTTAATACTCTGCTATTCTTCATGCATTCTTCCTACTTCATATTTTATAACACTGTTTTATATATGGCCTGTCCCAGCCTGACTTCTCAGTAAATGCATTCAACTTCCATCTCTAACTTCCCACTTTCCTTGATCTGTATTAATTGAAAGAGATTATTATACTTTGTCCAGCTCATCTTTTATCTTTTTGGACTTAAGCACAGCAAAAGTTCTAGTCCAGAAATAGTTTGGAATCTGTGGGTCAGAGACCCTTTGCTGAGTGGGGACCTGATTCAGAGGGAAAGTGGAAGGTTAAGGGAATTTGTATGTGGGGGTTGTGTGTATGTGTGTGTGTGTGTGTGTGTGTGTGTGTATGTAAAAGAGAAGGAGAGAGATATTGAGCGAGATGGATTGATTTTGACTGATTGATTATGAATAGGTTGGAGGTTCTGAGAAGGTTTCATTTATAAATGGCCTTGAGTGTACTTCATCTCTGGAATGCAGGGGTATCAGCGCTAGAACTGTACAATCTGACTAGTGAATTATTATGAATACACTAGGGAAATATACTTAGTAGTTACCAAGTGACTGGCACAATTTTATAGGGATTCAGAGAAGCATCTGGGAGGAGGTAATAATGGAAAAAAAGTTTTTGTTTTAGCCTGACCCTTCTAGCACTCTATTCATGCTGTGTGGAAATACAGAAAATTCAAAGTGCCATGGATACTTTCCTTTGCTATGTACATATTCATATGCTTTTTTGCAGTTTTCCCATGGGACACCCCTCATCCTCCTCTCCCTGCACATGTACATAATCTGTGTGTGGCTTTGCTTTGACTGTAGTAGTTGTTTGCTTCTTTAAGGAAGAATAAAGTCATAAAATGGAGGCAGTCAAGAGGAAGAAGAGATGGGAAGAAGAGAGTTACTGTAAGGATAGGGAGAGGAAAAGTCAATACTTGAGTATTGATTACAAACCAATATTAGTTTCCTAAGCTTGATTTATGATTGTAAGAAAGTGTAGAGTATCTGACATGTGGAAAATAGAAAAGTAATGTTTGAAGGTATTAATTGCTATAAAGTAAATGAATATTTTAAGAATGTGTTAAAAATTAGAGCATTGAAAGACAAATATTCCCTTTCTGCTCTGTGATTAGCTGTTAATTCAGTCTTTCAATTAATTTGGTACTTTAGTTTTTATGGAGACTGTGGTGTATCCTCATATCCATAGATACATGAAATTTTGACAACTAGCACAAGGTGAAGTTAAATATAACTTCATAGCAGTATTCTGTTTTTATGATTCAATATATATGTGTATGCCTTAGACAATATGTGTGTGCATCCCTCTGACATATATCAGGGATATATGTCCTTACATATAAGCTGTGTTTGAAGAAAGCTATAGGAGGTTATAATATTTAAAGAAATGCTTTTATAGGATGAAAAAAATTATAATAAAATAAACCCTCTGATTGTAAATCCAAATTTTAATAAATTGGGTTGCTTTAATTAAGATATAATATATAATGATGATTTTATTGCTGTACAAATTATCACTGATTGCTGTTTTAACTTTTACAGGAATCCATGGGAAAGAGTTATGATGGGAGAGCCTATGTTATTACTGGCATGTGGGACCCTAATGCACCAATATTTCTAGCACTTAATGAAGAAACACCAAAAGGTGACTTTTCTTAAAAAATCTTTTATTATTTAAAAAAATTATTTTATGAGCAGTTTTGTCTTGTTATATTTTTTAAAAATCCTGATGCTTATTTAAAATAAATACACTGTTTTTTAAATTTTGAGATTGCTTTTAATACTCCATGCTTCCAGGGAGAACCCCCACCATTGAAAAGATTTTCTCCAAAAGACTTGTGAATTAATTTGATTAGATTGCATAGAAGGCATTTGGGCTTTGTGTTTTATGTATCCCTATAGAGTTGATAAAAGCAAACAAATGCTAGAATTTTGCATATCTTTGATTATTGTTTTAATTTTTTATTTTAGAGGTTACTTATATTTTTTCACTTATTATTCATTCTTGTCTTTTGATCTTTGAGATCCTAACAATGTGTATTAAAGATTTTATTTGTAGCAAACACTTTTTCCCCCTAGTTTCCTACCTTTTAATTTTCACATGTGTAGTTGGACAGAAATTTATAAATGTTAAATAGTAACATTTTTCAATTTTCCTATTATCTTTTTTTTTTTTTTTTGGTACTGGGGATTGAACTCGGGTCCTTGTGCTTTCGAGGCAGGCGGCAGAACCACTTAGCTAAATCCCCAGCCCATCCTATTATCTTTTTTAATTACTCCTTTATCCAGGCATCTGCTAATTGCCTGTATTTTTGCCCATTCATCATCTGCATTTAAAGTAAATTTAAGGTTTACTTGCTGAGTCCTACTCACTGAACTACCCTAAATGCTTATTGTCATTCAACCAAATATTTATATTTGGAACATGATGGATCAATTTATATTATTTTTACTCTTATATTATTTAGTTTATACCCACAGGAGACTTTTGGTTAATGAGAGGAAGCATTAGTGAATATTAATATAGAAATACAATGTGTTAATGAAGAACATTAAAATGATACTTTCTGTTTTCCTTAAAGAGTGTTCACCAGTTGAGTAAATTTCATGCATTTGATCATATAATAAGCTGTCTTAAAATAGAGGCTAAAAAGAGAAAAAAGATTATATAAAACTTAGCTTTTTATATTTTAGCAGTAAAGGATTTTTCTCTATTTTTGGAGATAGGATTGTAAATAACAGCTTGTAAACTTCTTTCTTAAAATTATTCAGAAAGAAAATACAGAGATGAGAAAAATAAGACAGTTGAAATTTTTGAAGAATAAAATACAGGAATTTCAAATACCAACTTGCAAAAGTAACTTTATCCATTTTTAATGTAACACATAATTCAGTTTCATTTTGTTTTAATATATTTAATCTCACATGAAAGATAATTTATTTGTATGAGTAAAATAAACTTATAATGCTATATTACAATAATATTCAGGTCTTAATTATTATGTGTTTTAAATTTAAAATTATTTCATATGTTACATAAACATGTTGCCTTGATTTCTAAAATTTGCAAATGGTGACCTTGAAATTACACATTATTCAGAGAACTTATGAATCAAAAAACATTTGATTTTTATAGAAGAAATTTATGCCCTGAGAAATGAAATGTCTTGGATCTTTCTACTGCACTAAGATCTAGTTGAGTAATATATTTTATGTTTTGTGTTGCTTTCTTTTACCTCTCTTCAGTATTCCCTTTAGATTTTAAAGTCCTCTAGGACAGGCACAATGTCTACAGAATCTTAGTTTCTCCTGAATTAACAAGTTATATATATATATATATATATATATAGGATATAATAACATTTTGAATTTAATTATATCAATCAAAGTACAGTTGATGAGTATAAATGTTCTACAGTACCTTAAAAACACTATTGAATGATTCTTCTAATAGTGGGCTTACTTGTTTGGATTTTTCTTTAAGAACTAAAAATTGTGGACAAAGTTTAAATTTCAGAAATATTTAATGTGGAAAATACAAAATGATAAGGAATGACCAGGCCATAGGTTCAAAAACCTCACTGAATATCAGGCAGTAAATAGAATAAAATGAAATCTATATTTTGACCTATCATAGTGGAAACTGGAGAAAACCAATGGAAACTAGCCTAGAAGATTCTAGGTACAAATTAAATGTAATCTGTGGCAGAGTAAACATTTTAAATAATAACTAGCATTTAGGTTGATAGCACTGTACTGCTATTGGATCAAAGCCCATGTCAGGCCTCATATATATATATATATATATCATACATACAACTGCATACATGTATGTACACATACACAAACACACACACCTATATATGAGAACTTCACATAAGTATTTTGCTGGAGCTTTGATTAATGATTTCCTGAGGGTAAATATATGTTATGAACAGTGAAGATTCTGACAAACCTCTGAGGATTTCTCAAGGCATACAACGTGAAATTGTCTATATTAATAACATTTTGCCTATACAAGTTTAACACATAGAAGCTGTACATCTCTATTGATTTGACAGTTCTCCCCATACAACTCATTAAACAAACCTAACAATTTTTATTATCTCTTTTTTTAAGATGGAAGGAAAAAAATCTCTGATTTTCCGGAGCTTCACTAAGAAATTCGGTAGTTTTAGGGTAAAATATATTAATTAATTTATTGATTTATTTATTGTGGTGCTGAAAATTGAATCTAGGGCCTTGCCCATGCTAGATAAGTGCTCTACCACTAAGCCACACCCCCAGCCCAGTTTTTATTTATGTTTTTTTATGTTATGGATCTGATTTGGGATATGGAAAAAGCGGTCAAGAGTTTTGTATTCTTAACTAAGATAGGATCATTAGTGCTTGAGAAACATACTTGGACTAGTTCGTTACTTAAAGTATTATTAAAACATTTAAAATATATAGTAGGTAATGTAAGGAACCATAATTTCATAAATGAGAAAACTTTATATTCTTAAATAATGAAGGAATAATAAAACCAGCATAAAACCTAGAAAATTTCTACTACAGATAAACGAGTGTACATGACTGTGGCAGTGGATATGGTAGTCACGGAGGTGGTAGAGCCTGTCCGCTTTCTCCTGGAGACAGTAGTTCGTGTGTACCCTGCAAATGAGCGATTTTGGTATTTCAGCAGAAAGACTTTCACAGAGACTTTCTTCATGAGATTAAAACAGGTAGGACCTTTTGTTCTCTTCATATAATAACAATACTTTTTATCTTTCATTTTTAATGTCAAGATAGTTCCTTAGGTAGTGATAACATTCTTCCAAAAACCCAATGATATTTGAAGTCAACTAGCAGACTGAAAAATCCACATCTAGCTAACATACAAGTTTAAAAAGCCTGGCTAGGGTGATAATTAGGTAGTTTTTTCCCCCGTAGAAACCTGTCATGTATACCTGTAAAGTAGGAAGATAAGAAAAATGCATAGTCTGAATATAAAACAACTTTTCTGGCTTTTATTTATAATTACTTAAAAGAGACAGGATACAGAAATGTCATATGGTACTGATAAAGTTAAATGAAAAAATTTCCAGGAAATACCTAATTGTCACAGTTATTTTTGCTTGCAATATTAGGTAAGCTACATATTATATGTGTATATCCTTTGGCTCATCAGTAAGATTAATAAATTATTGTTATATTAAATGAATAAAATTAAGATTTCCATGACATCCTTAAATTAGGCAGTATTTATAGGTGACATGTAGTTTTTGTTTTGTAGTAAAGAAGGTAATAGGGAAAAATAATTTAAATTCTAACAGTGTCAGTTTTGTAAAACAAGGGTAGAATTTCTGTTGAGTGATGTAAATATTTTACATGCTGTCTGTTGGTACTCTCACTTGCCCAAGTTTTAAAATGCTTGCTGCTTCAGATATAGAAGCTACTTAGCCATTTTTATATTAAAAAGCTTTGTCATGGCTCAGGCCTCATATACTTTGAAATTATTATTTTCATCTTTCATAAGATTATTGTAACTAGTTTGAGTCAGCTCTTATTACTGTGTACTATTTTGCATCATATTATTAATGAGCATTATATGAGCAATATTTAAAACTGAAGTCTCCTGAGCATCTGTTAATATTTTGTTATAAGATTTTTCTTATAAGTGGAATTGCTATATGATATTTTAAGGGTATACTTTATAAGGAACTACCAGACTTTTTTCCAGGCTACTCAATCATTTTATTTTCCCTCCACTAATGCACAGGTATATATGTGTTCCAATTTTTCCTTATCTTTGAGGATTTTTATATCTTTGTTCATTAAAGAGATTGGCTTATAGTTTTCCTTTTTTGGTTAAGTCTTCATCCAGTTTTGATATGAGAATAATGCTCACTTCCAGCAATGAGTTTGGCAGTGCTCCTTCCCTTTCAGTTTCACAGAACAGTTTGAGGAATATTAACGTTAGATTTCCTCTGAAGTTCTTGTAGAATTTTGTGGTGAATTGATCAGATTCAGGCTTTTTTTTTTTTTTTTTTTGGTTTTTTACTTGGTAGTGTTTTTATTATTTGCCTCTATTTCATTACCTGTTATTGCTCTATTCAAGGTTTATGTATCTTCTTGCTAATTCATACATGTCTAAAAATTTCTCCATTTCTTCTACTTTCTCTAATTTATTAGGTTATAAATTTTTCAAAATAGTTTATTTTAATCCTCTGGATTTGGATAGCATTCATTGTGATTTCACCTTGTTTTGTTTCTAAATATGTCAATATAGTGTTTCTAAGAAGTTCCTTTGGTGAGTTTGGTTAAGGATTTACTAATGTTGTTTATCCTTTAAAAGAACTAACTTTTATTCATTGATCCTTTGTGTTTTTTTACAGTCGCAATTTCTTTAATTTCTCTGATCTTTATAATTTCTTTCCTCCTACTGGTTTTGGATTTCAGTTGTTATATTTCTAAAACCTTGAGATGGATCATCAAATTATTTATTTGGGATTGCTCCATTTTTTTTTTTAATGGGTGCATTCACATCTGTCAACTTCCGTCTTAGCACTGCTTTCATTGTGTCCCATAGGTTTTGATAGATTTTTGTTTCCATTATTTCTATGAATTGTTAAATTTCTTCTTTGAATTCTTCTGTGACCTATTGATTATTCAGTAGTGTACTATTTAATGTCCATGTGTTTGCATAACTCCTGTGGTTTCTTTTGCTTTTGATTTCTGGTTTCCTTCTGCTATGACCCAATAGTATGCAGCAGATTATTTCAATTCTTTTGTATTTATTTAGTCATGCTTTATTGCCTAAGATATAGTGTACTTTGAGAAAAGTTCCATGTGCTGCTGAGGAAAATACATATTTATTTATTTATTTATTTTACCATTTCTGATTTCTTTATTATCTGTAACCTTTGGGAACTAATCACATGAAACTACAAAATTAGCAAATGTCTTGAAATCTGTATATAAACCACAAATTACCTCTAATTTCAAACTCACTTATTACTGTACCACTCAATCTTAAAAAAAAATGAAAAAGAAAAAGAACAAGCAGCTCCAAAGATAGTCTTATACCATTTTAAAAAAGGAAACTCTTACTTTTAACTTTACACCCACCCCACACCCCATTTCAGAACACATCATTTAATTGTCTTGGTCTTGGACATTTCCAAGGTGAGATTTTATATTTCGTTCCCATAGCTTCTGGTTATCAGAAAACCCATATGTTCCTTTATTGAAAGAGTTTGATCCAGCTGATGTTGGTGTATCCCTTCCAATATTCTTCATCTTCATCTTTGCTTCTGGAGGCATTTGCTCTAGTTCACTATTTTCATCTTCATTAAAAGCTGCTGCTACTGAAAGGGTTTTTGGAGCAAGAGTTGGAACAGTTTCTTTAGGCTTACTTGATCCAAGTTTGACGGATATAGCTGATGCTTTCTTTGTTGTCTGACTACTTACGGCAAATCCAAACTTGGAGATCTTTGTAGGCTTTGTTGGGAGGTCTGCAGCTTCTTCTTCAGCTGATCGCTTTTCAGCGCTGCGACTGGAACTTTCCCCTCCATTACTGGAAGAAACAGTCTTAGTTTTCACAGGTTTTTCTGCTTCTTCTTCAGGTCCTCCGGCGCCTCCAGCTCTCTTCGGCTTCTTAGGCTTCTCCTCTCCCACCTTTCCGTCCGCCATTTTCCCAGCTGTGGCCTCCCCTGCCGGAAAATACATATTTTGTTGTTGTTGGATGAAACACTCTATAGGTAGCTCTTAATTCCATTTGTTCAACGGTAGATTTAACTCTGATATTTCTTTGTTGATTTTTTTTGTCTGGTTGACCTGCCCATTTGTGAATGGTGTACTAAAGTCCCCTGATATGATTATATTGGTCTCTTTCTTTCCTTTTATGTCCAGTAGTTTCTGTTTTATGACCCTAGCTGTACCAACATTCACTGCATAGATATTTACAATTGTTAACTCTGTTGAATTATTCTGGTATATAGTGGTCATCTTTGTTTCTTCTGATTAGTTTCAACTTGAAATCTGCTGTGTCAGAAAATAAGAGAACTAACTCCTACTTGCTTTCAGGGTCTGCATAGAGTATTACTTTCTATCCTTTCACTTTCAGTCTATGTGTGGTTAGATTTTATTTTTTTTAATTCAAACTTCCAGTTTGTGTCTTTTGATTGGGAGTTACAGTCATTGATTTTAAGAATTATTATTGCAAGATATTTACTAAATCCTGTCATTGCATTATTTTTGTAATGCTGATTCCTTTATTTTTTTCTTTTTGTTTATTTTCTCCATTAGATTCTTATTTTCCTTTGGGCTTTTTGGTATTGGTGGCTCTTCTGTCTCTTTCTAGGATTTCCTTTAATATTTTTACAGTACTGGTTTACTGGTTGTATATTTCTTTAGGTTGTTCTTTGTCATGAAAGTCTTTATTTCATCATCAGTTTTGGAGCCTAGTTTTGTAGGATATGGTAGTCTCAGTTGACAGTTGTTTTTTTTTAGGGCTTGAAAAAAGTCACTCCAAGCTTTTAAGGTTTATACTGATAAATCTACAGTTATTCAGGTGGGCTTGCCTTTATAGATTACTTGCTGTTTTTCTTGTGCAGCTTTTAGTATTCTCTCTTTTTGTTGAATTTCTGGAAGTTTGATTATGATGTATTGTGGAGAGATTCTTTTCTGTTTATGGCTATTTGTGAGGCTCTATATGCTTTTGTACTTTGTATCCTGAATTCTTTTCCTAAATTTAGAAAATTTTCTGCTGTGACTTGGGTTAATGAATTTTTTATATATATTTTTTTCTTTTTTGGTACTGGGGATTGAACTCAGGACCTTGCACTTGCGAGGCAGGCGACGGAACCACTGAGCTAAATCCCTGGCACTATACTTTTTAATTCATCTAATTTTTTCTTTATTCCTATAACTGAGGTTTGTTTTTTTTTTTTTTGGTACCAGGGATTGAACTTGGGTTCTTGCGCTTGCACAGCAGGCAGCGAAACCACTGAGCTAAGTCCCCGGCCCAAACTGAGGTTTTTTTGTTATCTAGTGGTTATTGGATTCAGCTTTCATGGTGTCTTATTGTTTTTAAGGTGTTGCTGAATTCAGTCTACTACAGTGGATCCTTGACTTATAAACTCAGTTCATTTCTGAGGGCTGGTTGTAACTCAGGTTGGCCAATGAAGGCTCAGGCTCCTCTACATAGCCTTCAAGTCTCTCTCCTATATACAGGCAGATCTCAGTGTCCTTGGAGAGACATTGGCCCAGGATTTCTCAGTTAGGCTCGCACAGGAAAGGATATTGTAACAATCCTTCCAGAATTCTGTATCTGAGACCAGATGGAAGCACAAGTGACTGGCATTCGGGTTGTAACTCAAGATTTTGTTTGGAAATTAAAACTAAAATTCCAGTCATAACCCAAGTTGTTTCTATGTCAGGCTGGTTGTAACTTGAGAGTCCACTGTATATCAACTTTGTATTCAAGTTCTGACATTGTCTTATATTTGTCAAATGTGCTACCCATGCCTTCCATTGAATTTTTCATATTTTGAATTTTTGCTTGGTTTCTTTTCATAATTTCTAATTCTTTATCTCAGTGGTCATTCATATCTTATATTGTCTTGTTTAACTCAGCTTATTTTTTGTTTCTTCTTTTAGCTTGGTGAATATTTTGCAATAATTAAGTCATTTACCTGTTTATTTAAACCCTCTTTAAGCTTGCTAAATGCTTATGAATTTG